ATGATAATGATCTTGATACAATACATCTATACATCATATTTTAAGAATTGATCAAATGTAATGACATTATATGAAATAAAACTAATTTTATTTTTTTCAGAATCAAATCACTCGTGGAAATATCGATTGTTCAACATACAAGAAAAACTCGACAAACAACCATGAAACAATCTCTTTTCCCAGAAGTCGGGCATATTATCCAAACGGCCGATACACAAATCCTGGCCGTTTATCCGTCACAAAAGACCCACCTTTCAGTTTCTCCATTCCAGTTTGATAAATAGAACGCCTCGAGAACGAAAGAGGAGATGGAAATGGCAAAACTGGACGAAAATGTGGGCAGGACGTGCCACGAGGGATATTATCGTGGACGCAGAAGGGTGGTCATGTGAAAAATACATTGGTGTGTGCAGAGGAGATTGGTCGAGGGATGACGAGCGACACACAGGACACGAGAAAGCTCTTGCGTATCAGAGGGGTGGTTATGCCATTTCTATGGAACGGTTCGCGGAAAAGACCGTCCATTTACCGTTCACACCGTCCAACAGAGCCGTGAGCACGCATCTTACTGTGTTTAATCGAATTAAAAGTTGCATGGTTACTGCGCCATCTTTTCTGCATGAAATGAGAGAAACGTTGGGTCGAGCGAATTTTACAGCTCGATTTTGGAGCTTGATGAAATTGGAGGGTAATAATTGGAAGGTTTTGCATAAGATTTTTTTTTTTAAGAGTATCTAACGATGAGTATTTTCAAGGATAAACATTGTTGGTACAAGTGATGATAGATGCAGGTTATAATTATTTTTAAGGGAAGCGTTGATGGAAATTGAACAATTTTCATTTTTTCAATTTTTTCATTGTATTTTGCATATGTCTATCCTAAAGAATAATTTAATTAATCCTTATGGATTAATTAATTACATTTATTATATTTACTTTCAAAATTGTACAAGTTAAAAGTTTTTAGAAGTATATATAGATATAATGGCTTGAAAAGTTGTTTAATTTTAAGTAGTTAAAATGAATTGTTGCTGCGAAGATTGTGTTATACAAAATATTGGAAAAAATTCAAGACACGAGTTGCAGACAGGAAGTTTCTCTCGTATAACGGTAGTTAAAAATTATCGAGTGGCTGGTAAAAATATAGGACTCTTAACCTTGACCCAAGGATTACAATGAAATTTATTACCCTCAAAGTTTATTGCTCTCAAACGCACGTTTTCGATAACACCTCTTGTCACTGTAATGGGTCGATATTTATCGCCTCGTTATTCGAGTAAGAGTGGTTTTACATGGATAGAAAGATTTTTCGATAAATACCTAAAGATATAAATTACAATATTTACTTAAAAATTAATATACTGTATAAATGTATGTACATTTACATGTAATTTATGGATATAATATTAATATTTACCAAAATACTAATTTAACATTTAATAATAGGTATATTTATAAGAAAGTAATATAGACATTTAACTTTTTTTTCTTTTAAAATTTATACATTTCAATAACTTTAATATTTTTATATATGAATACAATTATATTCCATATAAGAAAGACATTACACTTTATTATCTTTTTTATTTTTTTTTTTTTCCATAGGATCATTAATCATTACACAATGTGTCCCAAAAATTCTTGAGGTAATTTTAAACAATATTTTCCTTTGCAAAAAAAACTTTATAACTTAACTTAAACTAAACAAATTAATATTATCATTTTTCATCAAACACTGTTTAAACACTTTAAAAGTTTAATCTAATCGTAAATTCCAGCTGCACGCCATTCATTATTCCAAAACGAAGGGAACTGAATCCCACCACCATGAAAAAAGAAAAAGAAGACGTAACGTGGCCGAGATAATTAAGAAAAAAAAAAAAAAAGAAAAACTCAATCCCCGAGGAGGCAGTCTTAATTCATGCCAGGCAAGAGTACTAAAAGCTCGGCAGAAAAGGGTTGCACCGGTCGCTTGGATACCCTTCTTCATGAGAGATTACGAAACTCGAATCGTGAAAAAAAAGTTTTTCGCGAAATTACGCTCCACGAAGAGATACTCCGCCTCTGAGATGAGCATCCACGTTTCATTTATCCGACCCAACCCTATTCCAATAAATCTTAAGGATATCCTTGATACGTAGTCGGAATCGTTCGAGCAGCAATGGTTCGCTCGAATACACACGAATGTTAATCCATCCGAGAAATATGTTTTATATCTCCCCCCCCTCCCCCCCCCCGTTTCGTGTTTCGAGCTTCTTACATTACATGTTATGTAAGTATATGGCATAATTTATTAATTTATCATTACTCCCTTTTTAGAATCTTATCTTTCTCACTGTGAAGATAATCTTTTGTTAGAGATTGTTCGTAGAAGTCCTTTCATTGCAGCATATAGATTCGATAGATTTTTTTTAGATGACAAATTTAAAATTTTCTCCAAAATGTTTTCTATAAATTAAAAATTATATAAATATAATGTGAATCTTCATTTTTTGCAATGATTCAACAGTATTTGATATATTTAAGAATCGACTCTTCCATTAATTCTAAATTAATATATATATATATATATATTTTATAAACTCAATCTTTAATTGCAACGAGCAAATTTTTACTAATCCTAAAATATATCCTTAATAGCGAAATATTATTATACATGAATCGCCTTTTGCAATTATCTATAACAATACTTCAAAAATCGATTCGAATTCGCCAATGCAAATTCGCATTTCAAATCTCAACTTAAATAAATTAAAAATATGTAAATATCCG